AATGTAAGAAAAAAAAACCACTATAATATTGTAAAGTAATTAGCCTCCAACTAATAAAAATAAATAAAAAAAAATAGAAATAAGCTTAAGGAAGGCAGGTATTTCCTATGTTTTGTCATCTGCTGACTTTTAATACCTAGTGCAGTTCTTAGTGGAGTACCCTGGTGGCTCAAACAGTAAAGAATCTGCCTGTGATGTGGGAGACCCAGGCTCAGTCCCTGGATTGGGAAATCCCCTGGAGGAGGAAAGGGCAACCCACTCCAGTAATCTTGCCTGGAAAATTCCATGGACAGAGGAACCTGTGGGCTACAGTCCATGAGGTCACAAGGAGTTGGACACAACTGAGCAACTAACATTCACAGTTCTTAGTACATAGCAGGCATTAAATAAATATTTATTTAATAAAGATTAAATGAGTAAATAGATAGATGGGTGATAAAATTACCCTCTGTAAATTTGAATTGTTATTCTGGTTTCACTTCTCTGTTATTTTACCCAGAGAATATAGATCCCATGTCACAGAATCCACTAAGTTCCACCCCGTAATTTCTCTTTCCCTGGAAGTTATATACTAGCCCTAAGATAAATATGAAGCTGAGACAGAAAAAAAGGAGTTGGGGAACCTCTGATAACCTACTGAGCAAAGCTGAGACCTGATTACAGCAGACAAACACAGTATTCTGTTCCAATCAATATCTTTGTGATTACAATGAATCAGCCTCTTTAGTTTCGAAGTGTTGGATAGTTCAGGTTATTCTTCTGCTTTGTCAAAATGTCTTAAGGATAAAACTTATGTGGCAAAGAAAGAAGGAAGAGGCTAAGTGCTAGAAACAGAACATAATCCATTAGTAGCAAGACAGTGGTTAAGATAAGAAGACTGAAAAGAGACCTCTTCATGAACCTATGAACAGCTATACTATGAACTACTTCAGGAGACTAGCACATTGAATTGCTCCAAAAATGAATAATTATGTTATACTTTCTTTTATTGCTTCTATGTTCCACTTTAGTATTAAAAGACATGTCTCTGAAATCAAACCACCCTTAGTATGAATTACATATAATCTTAGAAAAGTAACTTCAACCCTCTGAGCCTCTGTTTTCTCATCTCTAAATATTTACCTCATAGAACTACTAAAATGACTAAATGAGATAATGCATGTTCCTGGCCCATTTTGAGGCATATAACAGATGCTGGCTAAATGTCAATGCCCTTCTCCCTTCTACCATTGTCACTTTTACCATCATTAGGAGTAATGCATGTCTGTAGTTCAGAAATATTCTCTTTATTATTGTCATCGTTATGTTCAAAAGCTGAAAGATCATTCTAGTTCAAAGTACTAGGTATCATTTTCAGCCATGGAGTATAAAACATAGCATTTATCAAACATCTGGCTGTAAGTTTTGAGCTTATAAAAGAAATGGGTGATTTTTACTGATCATTGATTTTTTTTTTTACTGAAGTATAGTAACCATATTGTGTTAATTTCTGCTATACAGCAAAGTGATTCAGTTATACATATATATATATATTTATATACTTTCTTTGTTATATTCTTTCCTATTTTGGCTTATCACAGGATATTGAATATATTATCCAGTGTTACACAGTAGGACCTTGTTGCTGATCATTGATTATTTTGTTCCTAGATGGCACACATGAGAAGTTTTCAAAGACCACTGATTTTAAATTAAGCAAACTGGTAAAATCCAATCTTTCCTTAGGGTCAATACAGAATATTTTGAGAGATAAAAAATTTTTAAACACAATATATCAAAAATCTGTGAGATGCTGCTAAAAAAAACAGAGGAAAATGTAAAAATTAAATGCTTAAATTAGAAAATAAAAATCTCAAATTAATAATCTAAGATCCTGTTCTAATAAACTAGAAAAAGAAGAGCAAGTAAAACTCAAAGTAAGCAGAGGAAGAAAGTAATAAATATAATAGCAGAAATCATAAAGTGAAACAAGAGGGAGGAGGACTTCCCCAGTGGTCCAGTTGTTAAGACTTTGCACTGCCACTGTAGGGGGCACAGGTTAGGTTCAGTCCCTAATTGGGGAACTAAGATTCCATATCCAGCACGGCACAGCCAAACACACACACGCGTGCAAAAAGACAACCAAGGGGGAAAATGGAGAACATAAAATCAAGGGCTGGCTCTTTGAAAAGATCAGTTAAACTGATAGATCTCTAGCCAGAAAATCCAGAAATAAAGAGAAGATAAATAAAACTATAGCAGAAATGAAAGAATATGCTTACACATTCCTCAGACATAATGAGTATAAGAAAGTATTGTGAACAAATTTATGCAAATAAATTCTGTATCTTACATGAAAGGAAAAATTATTTGAAGTATTTTTTTAAAGTTCATTCAAGGAAAAATCAATAATCTGAATAGCTCTCTACCTATTAAACTTACTGATGGTTCTATCAAATATGTAAGGAAAAAATAATGCCAAATCTACACAAACTCTTTCAGAAAATAGAAGGGCAAACCTCCAGCTTATTTGAGGAGGCCAATGTTACCTGAAAACAAGGCCTAACAAAGAAACTACAAGAAAAAATATCACAGACCCATATTCTTCATAAACATAGACACAAAAAAGCGTTTTAAAAAATGTTAGCAACCACCATTTCAACATTGTCCTGGAGGCTCTAGCTAACCCAATAAGACAAGAAAAGGAAATAAAAGGTATACAGGTTGGGAAAGAAAACATAAAAATGTGTTTGTTCACAGATGACATGATCATCTATGTAGAAAACCTGAAAGAACAGACAAAAACAAACAAAACAAAAGCTCCCACAACTTTTGTTTAAGTGATTAAAGTAAGGTTGCAGGATACAAAGTTAATACGCAAAAAAGTCAATTATTTTCCTGAAAGTGAA